TAATCAAAAGTTGGCAAAAAGTTTAATTGATTAACTCGATTCATCTGCATGTTAATAAAAAGCTAAGTTGTACCTATACAAAATGGCAAGGTCGAATAAATTAAACATACATAAAAAAAAAAAAATATAATTTGAATAACAAATCAGAATTTAATAATAAAATGTTATTTAAAAAATATATATATATAAATCATAAAAAACCAATTTGAATAATAGAGTATTATATGAATAAAAAAATCTAATTAGAAGAAAAAAGTCCAAGTAAATAAAAAAATTTATATTGATAATTAAAAAAAACTAATTTGGATAAGACAAAGTAATGATGAAGATAAAATTAAAGTTTGATAAAAAAAACCAAATTTTAAAAAAAATCTATATTATTCTAATAAACAAAACCTAAGTTGAATTAAAAAATAACAAATAAAATAAAATTATTCTTCATTAAATTAAAACATCTGTTTTTAAATACAAAAATCTAAAACGAATACAAATAAATACAATATAAAAAGTTAAATTTTTATTCAAATTTAATATTTTTATTCTGTTTGGATTTTTTACTAAACTTGATTTTTCACCAAAATTAAATTTTAGATTCTTAGTGGAACGATGAATGTACTGATATTACAATTATGTGTGTTTTTTTATTTTTATTTTTGTGTCTGTCATCACGGTTTTAGGCAGTAAAATTGCTTAGATTTTCTTCAACAGTATCTTGATCGATTGGAAAATGAATCTAGTTGGTGCATTTAGGAGGTCAAAATGTAAAATTCCCAATATGTTTCAAAATCGCAGGGTAAAACATCATAAAAATTAAGGAAAAACGGGAATTTTTACGCAAAATCCGGTTTCCACAAAATCGATTTTGGTTTTTGTTGTTGCTCTAAAACAAAACGTATGTACATGAAATTTTCACTGGTTGTTTATATTTCCATTTTCTATACACTTTTGATTTGTTTTGAACTGTTTATGAACATTTTCAGTTTCCAATTTTATTGGTCTTTTTTTCTATGAATGTCGATAAAACTCGATATTAAAAATCCTTATAGTCACAGTTTTTTTTTATAATCATTTAAAGTTCAAAAATTGACAAAAGATGGAAAAATCAAGAAAATTAGCAAATAATTTTGAGTTAAGAATTCGTAAAACTTTTTCTTTTTAAATCTAAGATTTTACAACGTAATAAAAGATTCCTTATAAGATTTTCTATCTTAAAAAAAAAAAAAAATTAATAATTAAAAAAAAAACACACACATATTGTAAAATCAATACATTTATCGTTCCATTCAGAATCTAAAATATCTATAAGAAAGTCAAATTACATTTTTATGAGCGTTTGAAATTCAAATGTTTACAACATTGGATATTCATTCGATTTCTCATATAGTGATTTTCTTATTTTGTTCTAATTCAAAAACAAATAACTATGTAGATACATGAAAATTTCCCTGAATGTTTATTTTATCAATTCTTATACTTGAAGTAAAATTTTGTAAGAATTTATAAAATGTTCGACTTTTATATCTAAGGATTCAAAATTTAAAACAAGATTCCATGTATGTAGTTAGTTCTGTTACCAAAAAATCTAAAAAACACATAAGTAAAGTTTATTCTTATAGTAATTTCAATTTCAAATTTGGACGAAATTACATAATAAAAAAAACCTAGAATAACTAATTTAGTTATTTTGTTGTGATTGTATAATATTAATCGTTGATGTAAAACGAGTTATGACTTATAAGTACCTAATGGATATTGTGATATGATTAATTTGTAATTTATTATAGGTACCTATTATAGGTCTATTTTTTTAATATCATTGATAAGTTTATAATATGTCTAATACCTAGAATGACCACTGACACATACCGTCTCCGCTCAGAATCGTTTTCTTATACAATGATATTATATCATTGAACTCAAATGTAATATCATTCATTATACAGTGACCCACTTGTAGCCTACTGTACAGCAGAGTTACATCCATTTGCCCATTTTTTTTCAATTTGGTTTTTATCCAAATTAGATTTTTCATTAATTATAGATTTTTTTATTTAAGTTATTGTTTATTTCAACTATTGTTTTTCGTGGTGAATCGAGACAATATCGTTGGCCATAATAAGTTGGTAGTTTATATGTATGATGTTTATGTATAAGCAGTACATACCATACAATGTTGATTAACATGAAACTTGCAGTAGTTAATAGCTGACAAATTCTTGGTCAAAATGTAATTGGTAGTTGACACTCAGATTTAGGTATTGATAGAACACAGTACACAGGGTTGGTTTGGTGTCTTGTTACAAGACAAAAGTCACTTTATTCAGAACAACGGTCGTTCACCACTATTTAAATTTGTACAGCAGTAGAGAAAACTAACATAATATGCGTCGATAACATGGTTGTGGCATACAGACATACGGTACCGTGCGGAGTCCTCCAAAAACGATGGGTGGGTGACGGTGAGTTGTCGAGGCGACGGTGTGAACGACAGAGACACCGTCCTGTCCCAACCTGTGCCTTTGTGGCGCAGTGGGAGATTCGACTGTGTTGCGCCGTCGCGTTGCCTGTTGTGGCAGACATAATCTTTCGGACAAATTAATATCTTAAAATATTTATTATCCATTTAATTTTCGTAATTAATTGTTGCTATACATACGTTTGACTAGTTTTATTTTTATTTTTTATTTCTCAGATATTTCTGTTACACAGTGTATTATAGTTATTAGTAGTATAACACGTCTAGGCAACTGATGTACCAATTTATAAATTTAAGTTTTGAATAATACAATATTTCTTGTACCTATCAATGGATACAGAGTACACTTTATAAGTTTATAACTTATTAAATGTCATATCCATATATTTAAATTCTGTTTGTTTGATATAATACTTTGACTAACATTTTTATAACTTTTGTAGTTACCTATTTATCGCGTCCGCAACAAAACTTGATTTTAATAGGAACCAGTATTTTGAGGATCTTTCTCACATTGATGGATGGTTTTAAGGCATTTTAATCTTTATACTTGTATTTAAGTCCAAAATTGGCCAAATGAGAACTATTATAAAATTAATAATACGTTTGAAATCGAAATGTTCTATAGTAATTATTTTATCAATGAGCAAACTCTAAATCAAACGAAATTTCAAATTTAACGCAAAAACTATAAATTAAAAAAATTGGAAGTCAAGGCAATTTATTAATCTAATAGTGTAGATTAATAATCGATTCAAACTGAATTTTTAAAAAATGAACAGTGTACTAAATTATTCATATATAAAGTGTTTTCTGTTTCTTATAATAATATATTTCAAAACACACGAATAGGTTACTCGTACATAGAAACGTACACCATGCCTGATAAAGTGATAAATACGCTAAACGCACTACCCTCGATATAGATTTTTATAGTATGACAGTCAAATTTCTAACTAATAAATATTATTATTCACAACTATAAATCAATGAAATTTAGATATTAGGTACCTATTTATGTACTTCTTATGCTGTATGAATAATAATATTTTTTTTTTATTTTTTCAAACTTTTGAATTTTTTTTATCACACTATTTTTTCTGAAAATAGATTTTGAAAATTGCAAATTTTTGAATCACTGTACCTTGTTGTAATATAATTTATATCATGATACAATATTATATTGTATTTCAGTTGTTGTTAACTTGACTGAGGAACATAATAAAAATGTTCAGACCAAGGGAATCAAATATCGATAACAATAATTGAGTGCAAATCCAAAACGTACAGTTTTCAAAATACTGATTTTTCAGGAAACTGATTTTCTGTATCGTAACCTTTCCAATAAAAACAAACTATTTATAAATAAATAAATAAATTTGGAAATTTAATTTTTTAATTATTAAATTATATATTATTTATTTTTAAAAGGATTCAAATTTGTTAAATATTCTAAAGTTTAATTTAATTTCAAACTTGATCAACATTTTTAAAATTTTAATACATTTTGGATAAAGTATTTTACATCCATAAAATATATAGGTATACCTACAACACGGGTAATACCTAGTAAGTTTTGGTATAACATAAAAGTATGCTTTGGAAATAGTTATTTTAATTTTAAAAAATGCTATTAAAAAACCCTAAATTCCGGGTATTTTACAATTTTCAAATTTAAACTTGATGGAATTCGTAACGAGGAACAAGTTCATTTCTTACTAGTGTAGAGCTATATAGTACGGTTTTTGAGTAAAATATCTCGTAAATGAGTTTTATTAAAAGTTAAAAATTGTAGTATTTTGTTAACGTTTTATTGATTATGTGATGGTTAAATCACATTTTTTTTACTGAGGTCAAATTGATCTTTAGAATATTCTACAGTAGAACCTGTTTTTTGTTTTTCAAAAAGTGTAAAATGAAGATTATGATTTAAAAAAATATTTTGATCAAAAAGTGCTATTATAAAAACCTAAATTCCGAATTATTTACAATTCTAAAATGTACACTTGAATAAAACATAACATAAACAATTAAAGATAATCGATTACTGATAATATCATGATTTATGGGACTGGTTTTTCTTTGCAGTGTGAACAGCAAACAAAATAAAATAAAACATAAACATTTTTTTTTAATAAATGTTTCCATTATCTTATTTTGGTGCAAACAGTAATTTGCTGTTTTGTCTTTGCTTCCTGTTTGGCTCCTTGGTGTAAACCCGTCATTACATTTTTATAATTTTAAACAAGAGCTTGGCGGTCGGCGGCTGCGACTCGTCCAATGGTCTCCATTGCTGACACACACAGTGGTAAGACTCTACATATAATAAGTTTGCTATGCCACCATATTGCGACTCATTTGTCAATGATAAAATGATAAAATAAAGTGGGGGGAATTCATATACACATAACATTATTAGTCCCAAAATGGCGGCTTAACATACCTAGTATCTATAGTGCTCTAACAGCGGCTGACAGTCGCGATAGTGATTGTGCTGACGCCGCCCGAACAGTATGTGCAAACGATGAATACAGTTCGGTTGTGTTTCACCTCCACCATCGCGTTTCTCATTGCCGCGATATGCTGGTCAGCCGCCGACGCTGTGGTCTGTTGCAACAGTAGTTCAGTTGCTAGCGGCGGCGGAGTCGCGTCTTGCCAGAACAAAAATCGGACGTTCCACACGGTTGAGGTGATCGGCGGCGGCACGTGCGATGACAACCGGACAGCCTTGCCGGTCCGGAAGTGCTGTCCGCCGGGCCAGCCGTACGATCCGGAAGTGCGGTTCTGCGGACCAGCCGATGTGGACGACGACGAGTATCTTCGGCAGATGATGCAGCGACTGAGGGAGGGATTCCGGGTGGTGGCCGATGCAGTAGTGGTTGGTTATGATTATGAGCAGCCTAAGTGCGACGCCACGCAATTGCTAGTCGACGTGCCCGCTGTGGAGGTGCGTGGGCTGAGGGAGGTGGACTCGTCGGCCATCGAGTTGCCACCGGGCTACTGCTTTGACATGACGCCCACCGATGAGCTGGTGGCGCGGACGTGCCGGCTACGTGACCAGTACTGCGGCCGGGACGGTTACACGTGCGTCAACAAGTGCTGCGAGCGTGACCAGATGTACGTCATCGATGGCGAGTAAGTCTACCGTCTACGGTGGTCTATGTATAAGTATAAAGCAGTATATAATTGTTATACCGAGCGTATGGATAGCTGCAACTGGTGTTGTGGATATTTGGTGGACAAGGGATAGTGGAGATCAGAAGTTTTCCTGATTGGCCAAATTTCGAATGTGTATCTATAGAGAACAAGGTTAAAGTCTGGCAAGTGCCAGACCTAATATAAGGGATGGGTGTCGGGTGGTATAATATGTTTTGTAAAAATGGCTATAAATATTATTATACCTAAATAATATGGAGATTATAGCTAAATATGAATTTTATACACGGAGAAAGCATCTACGGGGTTTGTGCTTTAGTTGTACGGTACCTGTTTATTTTGTCATTGTAATGTTGCGCCCAAGTCCAACCATGTATGAAAGCTACCAAGTGCGCCCGCAGGATAAAATCCCACCCGGGTCAATGGCAACATAAAAATATAATAGTAATATACCTAAGTAAATATTAATAGACAGGACATCGATCACGGGAGAACAGATGGTCACACACACACACACACACACATACACACACACACACACACACACACACACACACACACACACACACACACACACACACATATCAGTAGGTATTTTGTATTGTTTTTTTATTGTTATTATTATCGTTGAATGTATCTTGAATGAGTTATATAATATGTAGATAAAGCCAGATCTTTATCTTATGCCACCTCGTCGGCTGCCGACAGTGTTGAGATTTATCTAGAAAATTATTTAGTTATCCTTTATCTTATCTAGACAAATATTTGAGTTTTATCTATATAATTATCCAAGATAAAAAATTCATTTATCTAGATAAATTTATCTACATAAATTAGTCTCTATACCAAAATAATGAAATACACTTTTCATTGTCAATTTATTTTTTTGATAATTATTTATACTTTAAATTTGAATTGTCGTCATCTCAGTGAAGAAATTGTATGTTCATAATAAAATGATGTATTAGGTACCTATTATTTATTATTGATATTTTATTTAAATGGGCCAGTTATACTATATTTGATTAAAGTTAACCGGAGTTTAATCGGCCGAATTTGCCTGGTTAAATATCTGTTATCAGCCAATGAAGCTTAATCGTAGTTACAACTGGCCCTTAGTGCTCAAATATACCTACATTTCATCGTTATCTTGTGTTGTTCACTTGTCAACAGTAAATTAGTGGAAAAATTATTATAATGATTTAATTTATAACTTTTTATTTTAAGTTATTTTTAGGTAGAGTAAGCTACTCAGTCAGAGCTATATACCCCGTATTTAATTGTGTTTTCCTAGTTCCGATGGGTATTGTACCGATATTATTAATATTCACTTGGTCAACCAACTGCAATTGGTCTTGAATTTTTAATTAGGTTTGAGTACGATTGATATTTTAAGTATCTAATCGAAACTATATAAATCTTAATATAATTCTTATTTATCAGTAATAAACTAATAACTAATAGGTAATTAATAACATTATATTTGTAACAGTGTAATATATCGTTTACCCGGAATTCTGCACATTTGAAATGCTGTTTTAGATGTTTGAAGAAATAATATTATAAATTAATTTTATAAATACATAGTATATTGATTTTTGTTGTATCATTAATAAATACATCATCTGCACCTGTGTATAAATAATTATATTATCACAAGCCGATTCCGTGCACTTTGTTGCCCGTTAAATGTATCAACTCTATATGACTCAAACTTTGTTCAATTCGTTATTTAATATTCGGTGTACGGTGTTCAAAATTTATCTTATCTTTTCAGTTGCCCGGAATAAAAATTCTGAATTGCAGCAGTACATTATCAACTAGGCAATCTACCTGCGGTAGATCGCGGACCCCGTGCTGTTTGTACGTAAGTGTATGATTTAACTCTAAAGTATCAAAGTTATACCAAGTTTGTCGTTTTTACTTAATTCCACCTACGGTTGATTAAAATAATCAATTTATTTAATCCCATTAAATATAATTTATATTTATTTAATAAAGCAAATATTTTTATTTTTTTTTTTATCATTAATATTATTATAATAGCTTAAAAACCCATGGCAACCATTTATAAACAAAAATTTAGATCTGAAATTCAAAATTTCTGTTTGAGCACCTTCCGGGTTTGGTCCTCTCCCCTTTTAAATTACCATATGTTTTAAGTTGGACCAAAACACACACAGCGTAAAAATTTCATCAAGATCAGTCCAGTAGTTTTTACGTGAAAGAGTAAAAAACTTTCGAGTTTATAATATTAATAGAATTATGACATGATCTTAACGTAAAATAAAATGTTCTCCTATTTTTTGTATAGTATATACTTATGCAATGTACATAGTAAACATGATATTAGATGTACTTTATATAATAACAATAATTGTATATCTACTAAAAAAAATTTTAAAACTGTTTTAAAGGTTCATAATAATTTAAGTTTACTATGAAAAGTTGTGTAAAATAGTTTTTTCTTAATATTTATACCTAATTTTGAAAATGTTTTTTTCAGTTAAACCTTACTTATTGATTAATAATAATGTTCATTATTACATTAATTTAAACATATAGGTAGCCGGTGTTTATATATTATTGAAGTAATAAGTAGTATCTAAGCTGTACTCTCAACATTTAGACCTTATCGTAGGTAGGTATTGAAAAAAAACATATTTTTTTCATCTAGAATGTATTTATCTTTAATCTTTACCTAGATAGATTTGAATTTAGTTATATTTTAGTAAGTATATGCAAGTAAATGTAATTAAAATATCGATAACAATAACCACCGATTTACGGATAGCCTGCAGTGGCATTTTCACTTTTCAATTTTTGTAATTTTAGTATGTCTGATACAGCAAATATTATTATAACTTCATAGTGTTATTCTAGATAAAGATCTAGATAAATTTTCATCAAATTATCTTCATCTTTATCTAGATAAAAATGTACTTATCTAATCCCAACACTGGCTGCCGAATAATATTTTAGCACGGCCGTCATGATTTTTGTCTTTCACAGTGTGTTGTCGCGGCAGTATCGATGTATGTCATTAAAATGTATAAAGTTTTTATTGACTCAAATAGTAAAAAATATTGTTGTTTTTTTTTTATAATTGTGAGCGTCAGAAAGGCATATCGATGTTATATTAATTGTTAAGTAAAATTGTGGCCACGAAACACACTTTTATATTTTGTGTTGCGCGAACAAAAACGTGTACTGTGCAGTCAGATTTATTATACTTATTTTAAAATTGTGAGCCATAAGTGAATACGTTTATACTATTGTGACGCATCGCCGTTTTATATTATACAGCCAAAGGCGTAAATCACCAAATTTTTAATATTACCTAATTATTTTATTATTGTAAATTGTACATGAATTGGCACCTATTATTCTTTTTTGTGTGTGCTAAGCGCACAGCATACTATGTTCTATTTTAACACAGGACCAGATAGCTAGTCTGCGCTCCACAAATTGTGAGTTATTTTTATTATTATTTATTTATTTATTTACTATACATATTCAATAGATGGACCAAAAGGGCTATAGATATTTTATAATTATTATTTGTCGTGCAAGAAGGGCCTTATATTATTATAGCATCTTTATATTTTATAAGTACGAGCTAACCGCTTAAACATCTCTGTCAATATATATTTTATTCTGTTCGACCATAAGGGCTGGACATTTATGTAATTATATAATATATTTTAATTACTATCTTTATTAGTACATATTGTTGAACCAGAAGGGTCATAGTATTTATACGTGGTAGCTGCTCAAATAGCTTTTTATATTATTTATTATTATTATTTTGTTGGGACTGAAGGGCCGCATATTATTTTATACGGCTTCAGCTCAAATAGCTGCGTCAATATTATAATCCATCCTAGTCGGCCATAAGGGCTGTGATTTATTATTATTATTATAATAGACACATTATATAGACACCTCGTTCAGAGGATCCGCTTCTCGAACCGGCCTTGCCCAGCCACCCTAAACTTCCCGTTCTGAATCTCCTCCTTATCGATCTGGCCATAGCCCGCATGCCCAGATCGTCACTCTCCTGCTGCTCCCGCCGCCTGGCGAGCAATATCCTCTTTCTCTTTGAGCTGCAGGATCTCGTCCACCATCTTGTAGAAGATCCTGAATGTCTCTACCACATCACAGAGGGCTACTGCCTTCTCCTGGACATCGACTGGGAGGTCCCTGGGGACAGGTCCACACAGTATTCCCTGAACTTCCACAGCTTGTGGTTGGTGGCCCAACTATTCCTGGAGTTTAGTGCGAAGCTCATCAAAGTTGGGCAAAGGAATATCGTGTGTTCGGCGGTGTCTGATCCGAAGAAGCAATGCTTGAAACTGGGGTTGGAAGCTCTGGCAAAGCGGTAAAGGTAGTACTGAAAGCATCCGTGCTCAGTAAAGGCCTGAGTCATGTGAGTCAAATGGATACTTGGTGTGGTCTTGTAGTCCCAAATGACTAGGTATGGAATCAGGTGGCGTGTCCAGAAGGCATTGTCAGGTTCGCTGCACTTTTTTTACCAGTTGGAAATGATGGTTTTCCTCTCAGCCTTCTTGATTTTTTCCTTGAAAAGGGGAAGAGTGGCCTACCATTATATATTACTAATATTTAAAATATTAAATATCTTTTAAAATATTGGCTGACATACTGTTATTTCTGAGAATAGTTTATTCTAAGCAACGTTAAAACTGAACTCAAATTCAACACATCCATTTCGGTGAATTGGCCAATAGACAATAACGAGCTACATTCACTCGACATCGTCTATACCTTCTAAGCATAGACTTCCAAAGGTTTTTTTTTTTACAAAAATTTAATATAATTAATAGATAATATCACTTTTTTTTTGACAAAACTAAACCAACTGCAATCCTATCCACTGTAATGTAAACATATTATAGTTATCGGTTAATTATGTTTACATATCTTTAAAACTGTATAATGCTGTATAAAACATTAAAACGATAT